GTTAAACAAATACATTTACCCTTCTCAATTCTCACAACTTACTATGAACAGGAAATAAATAGCTTTTTAAGATCTAATTATTTTGCTATTTATTAGCTATTTTAACAATAGCTCTAAAAATAAAAGTAAACATAGTTTAAAAATAGCTATCTAATAGCCATTTGAAGAAACTTCGCCACAACTTTCTATGAATAGGAATCAAATAGCTATTTAAGATCTATTTATTTTCCTATTTAATAACTATTTTAACAATACTCAATAATAGCTCCAAAAATAAAAGCAAACATAGTTTAAAAATAGCTATTTAATAGCTATTTGGAACAAAGTTCGCCACAACTTTCTATGAATAGGAATTAAATAGCTATTTAAGATCTATTTATTTTCCTATTTAATAACTATTTTAACAATACTCAATTATAGCTCCAAAAATAAAAGCAAACATAGTTTAAAAATAGCTATTTTATAGCTATTTTGAACCAAAGTTTGCCACAACTTTCTATGAATAGGAATTAAATAGCTATTTAAGATCTATTTATTTTGCTATTTAATAAATGTGTTAAGAATGGCTCCAAAAAGATAAGCAAAAATAGTTTAAAAATAGCTATTTAAAACTATTTTAACTGACTCGTTTGTCATCAATAGGAATTAAATAGCTATTTAAAAGCTATTTTATAGAGAGATTCCGTCAAATACTCTTCCAAATAGGATTTGAATAACTATTTAAAAGCTATTTTTTTTTAAAAATATAAATAGCATATATTTTAAATAGAGTGTAAATAGTCATATCCTATTTTATGAAATTTGATAAATAGTTATAAAATAGTCATATTTTTGAAAAACTACGGAAAAATAGGGCTAAATAGAGAATAAATAGGTATAAAATAGGTTATAAATATGTCGGATTCTACAAGGGTTAATATCGTTCAAGTTTATATCCATATTTGGGCCACGAAAGCGCTTACTCAATGATACCAGCTTTCGCGGAGACATGTAGATTCAATTACATGTTGATTCAATATGAAAATATATAATGAGACATGCAAATTCAATATGAAAATATATAATGAGAATTTCGACGTTTCGAAAGCCCTTCGTCTGGAGTTAATGGGGTATTTTTGTCGGATCACGCACCAAATCATCACTATAATAGTAATAATAATAATTTATAATCGTTTTACACCAATTCTGCAGTTAAAACAGAGTTACACTTGTTTTACAACTGTAAGATACTATATAACTAAAAATATGTAGCAACAATATTACGTACTGTTTAATAAACTAGAAGGAGTGTTTTATTAGGTTTAAAGACACGAGCGCGCAGCGCGAGTGGCTTTAGACCTAATAAAACACGACCTGCGAGTTTATTAAACGGCTTCAAACACGACTACAAATTCAATAGATATACTGCCTTATTAGTATTCTTATTAGTATTCTTTACATAAGAAATACTAATGAGGACACGACAACAATAGATACTGCCTTATTAGTATTCTTTATTTAAAGAATACTAATTAGGAGTGTTTTATCAGGTTTAAAGCCACTGCACGTGACATATTATGGCTGACATGATTTGCCATGTTTGAAATATGATTTAAGAACATAAGTAGTCACATATAAAAATCTTTGCGAACAAAGTTGGCTGCTTCATTGTTTGTTTCTGTAGAGTAATCTTTATTATTATTAATTTTTTTTTTGACCAATAAAAAGTTTACATAATTACAGTGCTATAATAACAACGTGAAGGGCTAGGGATCTTAATAAAACCCTTTCAGGCTTTTTAGTAGAGGTCCCAAGTTTTACAATGTTCATAAGAATAATATTTAAGAGTCTGCGGACCGCTTTAGAGCGAAATTGCAACAACCAGGTGGCGAGACAGCGCCAAACTGAAGTGGACGGTCATCCTAAACTCCACAGGATTTCCGTTAACGTCACAATCTTCCCACCAGAAGAATAGTACGAAATCACGACAGTCTGACGTGACTCTTACTTGATGGAACATTGCCTCTATATCGCGCATCACACCAATGGGTTCTTGATGAAATCTGCATAAAACATCAACAAAGCCGTTAGTCATATCCGGTCCAGAAAGAAGATGTTGGTTAAGTGATTCACTGTCATACTCCGCACTGCAGTCGAAGACTACGCGAATTTTATCCTTCTTACGTGGATGGTATACACCATGGTGGGGGACGTACCATACCCGACCGTCGTTCCTCGATAAACTTCAGCTGGCACTAGTTCTGCATAACCACGATCGATTATGTCTTTCATGAACGCTGTGTAATAATTTCTGAGCTGTTCGCTTCTTTTGAACTTAATCTTTAACTTAAAGAGTCTCTTTAGGACATATCGCCTGTTATTAGGTAGCTTGGTATCATTCTCTTTAAAAGGGAGTGGAATTTCATAGTGACCATCATCTAGTTTCAGGATACCATCATTTACCTTCTTCAAAAACACTCGATCTTCATGGGATAAAGCTCGTCCTTCTGATTTACACTCGCTGAAGTCTTGCACCATCATCTTATTAATTTGGTTAGGATTAGCAACTTCTTTGATTTTGGTGTTCAAAGAAAAACGAATACGCGCTTGCCCTTCAGATTCCGCTTCACGTGATATGACACGATTCACGCTGACTTCAGAGCGTTCGGTATGAAGTAGTGGTAGTAGAACTTTATTCATCCACGCTGACCCCGTCAACCGCAGCTGATTTTCACAGAGGGCGTGTGCCAGAAAATTATTTTACATGCATAATATGATAATGATAAGTAAAGCTATTTACAGTAATATATAAATTTAGAAGATATAGCAAATGTTTTGAGCTATTTACAGGCAAATTATATTTACAAAGGTTACCAAGCACTAATGTGAGCAGCGATTTTATTTCGAAAGGAAGAAAGTGACTTGCTTTCCCTAATTTCTTTTGGTATAGAATTCCAAATGTTTGCTAAGTCGTACATAAAACTATTTTATATGCTATTTGTACGTTGTTTTTGGTAAATAAAGACCACTTGAGACATCCCGAAGGTGGAAACTAGTTTTCTCACTCTTAAACGAAAATAGATTTGTGAGTGATTTTGGACCCATTTTGTTTAATAACTTATACATCATTCCTGCTTTAGTTTTTTTTCCTTTTTTTTTTGGAGTGGCTGCCAGTCACACGCAAAGCAATTGTATATTCTACGTCATTGCTTATATTCAAAATAATTCTTGCTCTATCTTGCAGTTTTTGCAGTCGTTTTGAACGAGTTTCGTCAAATATATCCCATACGTCACAGCAGTGGTCAAAGTACGGAGGAACAATAGTGTTATATCAAAATAAGTGTATCTTGATCAACAAATGGTTTGATCCGACGAATAGTAGAGATTCCTGCTGTAACTTTTTTGCAAATATTTTCAGTATTACTTTTCCAAGATAAATGCTGGTCAATTGTTACTCCTAGAGGTTTGCATTCATGAACTTGTTTAATTTAATTTGTATATTTTAAATGTAAACATTTGGACAAGAATCAGAAATATTTTTTATCATGGGTTTAGGGCCAATCAACATAAACTCTGTCTTAGCTACATTAATTGAGGCTAAGTTTATTGGCTATTAGCCATTTTCTAAGGTTCTTTAAATCAGAATTTACTGCAGTCTCTAGGTCAGACATATAGAATTTGCTGAAGCAGTCAAATTTGTGTCATCAGCAAACAACCGCGGTTTTGTTTTATTTAGACAATGTGACAAACCATTCAGGGTTCGTAGCGCTCTTTGAATCCTTGAAAGTCTTTAAATTTGAATGCAGCCTTTAAGGTCTTTGAAAAGTCATTGAATTGTGTGAAAAAGCGAAGAAAGTCTTTCAAAATCTTTAAATTCTTTAGTGAGTATTTGATTATACCATTTCCTAGCTAATAAAATAGATTGATTGAAGCAAGATTTTCGCAAATATCTTTATATTTTGTGTCGATCTTCATTATTGTTGCCTGAAATATGCCAAAATATCCACATCTTTTCCTTCATTAGGTCAAGCTATTTCCTGAAATTTGATGCTCAGATTGCTGCAAATGGGGTTTCTGGTAGTTTATATCTAAAAAATGTTCTGGGGGGGGACATGCCCCCGAACCCCCTAGGATGTCTCACGCCTTCGGGGCTCGTTTGCATGACCACTCACACGACGCTGGCTTCGCCACTGCCAGAATGTGGTATCGTTTTGTTAGGAGATTTTAACACGGTATTCCCATATAAGAACTTAATTATGTTACGACAACGGGAATTCCACAGTGAAAACATAAATCTTTGGCATCATTACAGAGACAAAGTCAGATTGGAGATAACAGAAAGAAAACGGAAGTTTTATACAGATAAAGTCCAACATCTGAAGAATATTGTTCTTGATGAAAGCTAGTGAAGCAAATATCTGGTCAATCTAATAATATAGCGCCAATATATATTGAAAAGAACGGAGAAACTTTGACCGATGTTCAATTAGTAAACGCCTCAAATGAATT